TTAACAGAAGTTTAATTGACTATTCTCTCCTACAATTATTTCTGGACTTTGATTACTGTTGACTCAATAGAGGGTCGCCACTTAAAGTGCCTATCACCTAAAATTTTTTATTTTGTTATCTGAAACTACACGGTATTAAAATAACTTCGGTGAAAAAATTTTGCGATTTGAACCAAAGACGATTTTTTTAGAATTTTTTAAAAACGTTCAAATTTGCCGCCATTTTGGCACACCATTCATCTTAGTCTTCTTTTGGGGTATGACATACTTTAAGGAACACATGACTTAATCGACATGAAAACATTAAAAGTTCTGGTAGGTTTTTCTGTTTCAGAAAAACTGTCTTCTTGCAAAGGCATTGTGATTCAATCCTTACTTATAACTGATCTTTTTTGTGTATAGCTGGTGAAGGAAAGGTAATGNTTGCATTTTTGTGAAAAGCGCAGTAATGGAGGTTCATCATAAACTAACATAATGTGAAGCTGAAACATAGAACTGAAACATCTTTACTGATCCATAATAAGTCGCCACCTTCTATCATGGGCTTCATTTCCCTTAGCTTCATCATAGCCAAAAGGTGTACGCAGAGCTGCTTAACAGAAGTTTAATTGACTATTCTCTCCTACAATTATTTCTGGACTTTGATTACTGTTGACTCAATAGAGGGTCGCCACTTAAAGTGCCTATCACCTAAAATTTTTTATTTTGTTATCTGAAACTACACGGTATTAAAATAACTTCGGTGAAAAAATTTTGCGATTTGAACCAAAGACGATTTTTTTAGAATTTTTTAAAAACGTTCAAATTTGCCGCCATTTTGGCACACCATTCATCTTAGTCTTCTTTTGGGGTATGACATACTTTAAGGAACACATGACTTAATCGACATGAAAACATTAAAAGTTCTGGTAGGTTTTTCTGTTTCAGAAAAACTGTCTTCTTGCAAAGGCATTGTGATTCAATCCTTACTTATAACTGATCTTTTTTGTGTATAGCTGGTGAAGGAAAGGTAATGCGAGTTCTTTAATTTATGTCACATGACGTCATATATGAGCCTGCTAGTTTGCGTGATCAGCGGCACAGGTGTACCGCAAAAATTTTTTCGCAGAATTTATTTTAATAAGGTATAGTTTCAGATAGAACGTATAAAAGTTTAGGTGATGGGCACTTTAATAGTTGACTGTATTGTATGGTTGGGGGTGGGGAGTCGGGGCATGAAAATCATTTGTATCAAGTAGGTTGATAAACTTATGTGGGCACTGCACCGCAATTTAAGTAGCTGACTTTTAGTGTGCTGGGTTTTCTTCAGAGATAAACTCTAGTGGTGATATTTGATGCTGATCTGCCATAAATATTTTTATTGTGGGCTCCTACAGAACCCAAAGCCAAACCAACTATGTTTCAAAGTGGGAAGACAACATTCTCAAAGACATCAAAAGTTTCACCTGTCCTTGTACCAACTGGACCACCAATGATTAAGAGACAGCAAGAGCTTCAAAAGCAGGTAAGTACAGTATAACAATAATAATAATGTATGCCCCTAGTCTGAATTTCAAAAGCAGTAGCAGTAGTTTTACTTTTGTATTTGTGGTTTTCCTCGTCGTTGTCACAGATTCAACCCATCTTCATGTCGTTTGTTGTCATTTTATCTGTCTTATGTTGCCACTTCAAGGCCATACATGTCGCTTGTCAGCATTGTACCAGGTAACAGGGCCACAATAATTTAAAGTCAATAGTAATGTTTCTACAGGACCTGGTATCTATCAACAATGTTGTCATGGCAGCAGCTAAGTAGTTTAACCCTTTAAGTCCCAAGAGTGACCAACATCAATTCTCTCCTAACAATATCAATACATCATCAAGAGAAATGGTAATGAGAATCAATAAAATGATCACCACAGGGAAAATGCCTTGATCTTTTATCAAATTCTCTCCACTAATCTCAAAGGAAATGCATGAAGATCAGTCTGGAGAGTTTGTTTCTGGATAGTGGGACTTAAAGGGTTACAATCCTCAGGTCAGAGGGAAAAACAATGAATCATCACCAGCGATAAGTTCCACATGGATGGAAGTGTTTATGAACCTTTTTAGTATCATTTTTTTTAATTTTTTTGCAGGAGGCGATAAAAAAGAAACTGGAAATTCAGAAACAGAAACAAGAACTACTCAATAAACAGATCAAAGAACAGAAGGTAAAAATTATGAATTTTATTACAGCCGTCTGTCTCACCACTTATCCCCCTTCACATTTGTCGGGTATTTCTTAGACTGCTTGTAGCCCACCTTGTCTCTCTTAGATCTGTAAATTTCACAGGGAGAAGAAACAAAAGACTTTTAACCAAAAAGGGAATAAGGCAAGACGAGAAAAGTCGGATTGCTTACTCTTTTGGAGTAAATAAGCTCTCCATCAGCCCAGTAACTTTACTCAAATTGAGGTCACCTAGACAAAATTGACCAGTCACATTGAAAGTGAAAACATTTTATCTTTGAAAATTCATTTTTACTCTATGCTTAATACTTTGTTTTTGGTTTTCTTTGCCAGCTTTTAATCTCCAAACTTGAAAAGAAGAATCTTAGTGCTGCAGAGAAAGATATGATAGTGAAGGTACAATATAAATTATTATGCTCTTACTAAACAGGGTTCGTACAGGTCATGGACGACCTGGAAAGTCATGGAATTTAAATTATTATTGGTTCTGGAAAGTCATGGGAAGTTAAAGTTAATTTCGTTAGATTAGTTACTGCAGAATGTCAAAAGCAAGGAGAATGTAAGACTTCTGCCAGAGTTAAGATCAATAAGTTAAGCTTAGCCCAGTTTAAGAGACTTCTTAGGGATTACCATACCGCCGCCTTATGGACTTGCTATAATGTAGAGGACCCCAGAACATGGAAAATAATTTGCCTAAAATGTAACTACGCTCGCACTCTAACTAGCCATGTCACCTGCTGCTTTTAGCCATTTCCATCTAGCCTTTCTTTTTCCAATCCTAACATTGCTTTTATTTTTGATTTTTTGTATATGTGTATTATTTTTTTTTATAATTTTTTTTCTTGGCGAAACTTAATAAATACATAAATAAATGAAACAAGTTGCAAAACTGAGCTAGGTCAAAAACGTATTCCTTAATCAAGGGAAGTCTTGAAAAATATTAAAACTAAAGCTAAGCCTAAGGTCATGGAAATCTTAAAAAAGGTAATGGAAAAAGTCATCGAAAGTTGTGGAATTTGAAGAGCTCCAAAGAGTACGAACCATGTAATAAAGCCGGCATTTTGTATTCATTGCAAAGTCAGAGTATGGTGGTATACTTATGTCACTTGTTACAACTTGTGTTTCATATATTTTTGCTTTTTATTCCAGACAGTAAAATCTCTAAGTTCAAACATTGAAGCTCTGAAGAAGGAAGTTGAGTTAGCAGCTATGGCAGCAAAATCCAAAGAAAGTCCCTCACAGGCCAGACAGATTGTAAGTGCAAACTGTGTAATGATAAATGAATTATTATTAGTCATGAAGTCAACATAATTACCTGTGCTTGCTGTAGCTGAACATTTGTTTGTGTGGATAAATAGATAAACCTTGTGCACACCTACAGAATGGAACATCAAATGCCCATCCCCCTAAATCAAGGATGAAGTCAGGCAAGATACAAAACACGTCATTTTCCCATTCTTGATTTTTGGGGAGGGGGGTATAAATTTCCCATCTATTTTGTCCAAGATTGACAGATACTATACCTTAAACTGATTGGGTTTGAATCGGCTGAAAAGCAAACTTTGTCACCTGAATAAGCATACAATCTGCAATTTTTGTAAAAGGAAAGCCTGCAAAATATCCAGGCTTTGTGAATGGGACTCAAACCCATGACCTCTGTGATACTGGTGTAGTACTGGTGTAAGCTAATAAGCGGACTGAGAGCTTGTCATTGAGATGGTTTGTTTTAAACCCACAAAAGGATAAGTGATGAATATGAAAATCATATACCAGTATTTAGAACTAACTGTTGTTATTTGACCTTGTTTTTTTTTAGGCCCAGAAAGCAATTCTTGACCAGGAGCTTGACCTGATAACACATCAGAATACTGGGGAAGACACGACAGAACTGAAGAAAAAAGTTGAAGAACTAAAGCAAGAGGTAGTTACTTGAGATACATTCAATCTGTCTAGTGCATCATTTTTAGCATTTTGATAGATGTGAAATATTGTGTGCAAATTCTCTATTGTAACATTTTCTCACATCTGTATTAAATGAAATGATGAATATATGATTGAATTTCACATGGTTCAATGTTAATTTTGTTGATCAGCAGTGTTCATCAACTTTTAAACAATGTATTGTGGTACATGGTACGTTGAACTGGGCCATTAAACATTTTAATGCTGATGAATGAGAATGCGGCTGTAGTAAATAAAGATGGACTTTATTTTAGCAATTACACCCCAACAGTGCTTGTAGTTGTTAATCAAAGATTGTTGAAATTTTTTAAACCCAGTGTCTTTGGCTTTTAGTAGTTCACAGCAGGAATATATCTACAATACTTGTCAAAAATCTTGAAACACATGTGCGTTTCCCCTTCTCCAATTTTGATTTGGGTATTACAGCCGTCTCACTGCCCCAAAATATGTGTGGCTCAACATTGGGGAAGGGGAGGGGCACATTTGAGTGAGAACAAAAGTGTGAAGAGTGAGTAATAAATTTTAGAGAAAATTCAAGAGAAGCACTGTCTGTTTCATTGATTTGTGAGGAGTATTGTAGTTACTGACCATGTACTGTTTTTAGGCAAAATCTCTTGGCTTACTGGATCCACCCACAAAGGGACGAGGAAGAGGAGTTGTAAGAGGACGTGGCAGAGGAACACCAGTGAGAAGCAGACCACTTCCAAGAACAACACGGGTGTGGACAAGAGACAGTGCTTCATTAGACCATCGACCAAGGCGGATCAGTGTTGGAGAAATAACGACTGAACAGAAGGAAGATATTACATAGCACTTTAAAGTAAGTACCATGAAGTTTTCTTATTGCTGTTTTTCAAAGCTGAAATGAATCTACATTGCTCAGGAGTATAACAAATTGTCAATGGTGAAGGAAGGGCACATCTCACTTGTCCAATATTTTTGTTTATTTTTTTTGTTTATTTTTTCCTCCATTTATTTATTTTACAGATAGATGGCCTTTAATTTACTTTAATTTACTTTCATGACTTAATCCCTTTAAGGTTACTGACTATTGAAGTAATAATGTCCAAAACGAAACACACGTTTCATTGTCATCTCACCAAAAATATCAATATCAAACTCAAGAGTGTTTCATGTTATATTCAGACACTGAGAAGTGGTTTGAAAAAAGGGTTTTGCAAGACCCACTTTGAGGATTCTGGATATTGGATGAAATACTGCGTGGAATTTAATACAAAAATGTATAGCTTCTCTCACAAACAAGACGTTTTGAAGAAATTCAACGCTTAAGTTCACGAAATCATATAGGAGTTGCCTCTGATATCCGAACCACTGTCAAAGTAGTGATTTCCTTGGTTTGTTATCGTGGATTACTTTTTGAGAATCAAGCTCATTTGTGGCCTTTGATTTACANGGAGTTGTAAGAGGACGTGGCAGAGGAACACCAGTGAGAAGCAGACCACTTCCAAGAACAACACGGGTGTGGACAAGAGACAGTGCTTCATTAGACCATCGACCAAGGCGGATCAGTGTTGGAGAAATAACGACTGAACAGAAGGAAGATATTACATAGCACTTTAAAGTAAGTACCATGAAGTTTTCTTATTGCTGTTTTTCAAAGCTGAAATGAATCTACATTGCTCAGGAGTATAACAAATTGTCAATGGTGAAGGAAGGGCACATCTCACTTGTCCAATATTTTTGTTTATTTTTTTTGTTTATTTTTTCCTCCATTTATTTATTTTACAGATAGATGGCCTTTAATTTACTTTAATTTACTTTCATGACTTAATCCCTTTAAGGTTACTGACTATTGAAGTAATAATGTCCAAAACGAAACACACGTTTCATTGTCATCTCACCAAAAATATCAATATCAAACTCAAGAGTGTTTCATGTTATATTCAGACACTGAGAAGTGGTTTGAAAAAAGGGTTTTGCAAGACCCACTTTGAGGATTCTGGATATTGGATGAAATACTGCGTGGAATTTAATACAAAAATGTATAGCTTCTCTCACAAACAAGACGTTTTGAAGAAATTCAACGCTTAAGTTCACGAAATCATATAGGAGTTGCCTCTGATATCCGAACCACTGTCAAAGTAGTGATTTCCTTGGTTTGTTATCGTGGATTACTTTTTGAGAATCAAGCTCATTTGTGGCCTTTGATTTACATTTGAATTTATTAGATGTGATTTCTTCCTGTCCTAGTTCCCTTATGTATTGAGACCGAGAATTCATGAAGCTGCAGCCAATGAAAGTTTGATTTATTAGAATAAATAAAGATCGGGAATTTACACGAAGCTAAATGTAATTTAGGCTAAGTTAAACACGGAACCATGGTCGCCAGCAGTTTTTCCCCAGAGTTGGATGCAGGGTGACCAGGTTTAATGCTGTGATGCAGTGCAATGGGCCAAGAAGAATGTTACGATGGAGCTTTTGTAGTCACTAAAAAGTTATGTTTGTACATTGATAGTTGCCTTTTTGATTCCTTCCTTTAGGAATTTGGTATTGTTGACAATGAAGAATATATTGATGATAAGGAAACTCTCAACTTGACTTTTAGGACAAGAAAAGAAGCCGAAATTGTAAGAATAATGGACATTATCCATTTGGTCAATGTTTATTTCTAGTGTCTATCGCTCTTATGTCCCACCCAATTCCTCCCTCCTTTCTTTATTTGGGTTTACTTTGTATTGCATCAACTTATAAGGATTTCTGGGTGATAGCAGTGCAGTGGGGCACATGGCATTGAGAAATCCATGTTTTGATTTTTGTTGTTGAGTTGTGAACTGTGAGTAGTCTCCAATTCTCCCCCAAACTCCGGGCTGTTCTCTAGAAGAGCCCAGTGGCCCCTGGCGCCTAACTTTTTCTTTTGGGCCACAAGAAAATCTTAGTTTTTTCATGCAAAACATATGCTGGGTACCCTAGATTTTACAGTTTCAGAGCACTGGGCTCCCTTCAGTGTTCCTTAGTGTACAGCCTTGAAACTTAGTTGAGTTGTAATGTGTGAATGGTGAGCAGCTACTCCCCTGTCCTAACATTCAGTTACACACAAGGCCATTTTTTATCTCCCCTTTTTACTGGACAGATTAAGAAAGAGAGATTACTTTTAGTCAAGTTAAATTGGGAAATCCATAAAAGGATTTGAAAGCGGGCCTTTTGTTATTGACTATACCCTACGATATAAAATTTAGTTTTGAAGATTTGCAGTTATTAATTGATACTGTTTTATACTGTCACTGGCTTTTCAATTAGAGCTTTATACAAGAATTTTATTATTTTCAGGCCTTCAATAAAGGCAAGACATTCAAAGGCAGAGCCTTGAAGGTTTCTTGGTATCGACCTCCATTGACGCCTACATCACCTGCAACAGCAGTACCAACTACACCTACGACTCCTACAGTGCTCAAGAAAGTAGAGGAAGAGTTAGGACTGGATATTGATGCTGAACTGGTNAGAGTTGGATGCAGGGTGACCAGGTTTAATGCTGTGATGCAGTGCAATGGGCCAAGAAGAATGTTACGATGGAGCTTTTGTAGTCACTAAAAAGTTATGTTTGTACATTGATAGTTGCCTTTTTGATTCCTTCCTTTAGGAATTTGGTATTGTTGACAATGAAGAATATATTGATGATAAGGAAACTCTCAACTTGACTTTTAGGACAAGAAAAGAAGCCGAAATTGTAAGAATAATGGACATTATCCATTTGGTCAATGTTTATTTCTAGTGTCTATCGCTCTTATGTCCCACCCAATTCCTCCCTCCTTTCTTTATTTGGGTTTACTTTGTATTGCATCAACTTATAAGGATTTCTGGGTGATAGCAGTGCAGTGGGGCACATGGCATTGAGAAATCCATGTTTTGATTTTTGTTGTTGAGTTGTGAACTGTGAGTAGTCTCCAATTCTCCCCCAAACTCCGGGCTGTTCTCTAGAAGAGCCCAGTGGCCCCTGGCGCCTAACTTTTTCTTTTGGGCCACAAGAAAATCTTAGTTTTTTCATGCAAAACATATGCTGGGTACCCTAGATTTTACAGTTTCAGAGCACTGGGCTCCCTTCAGTGTTACTTAGTGTACAGCCTTGAAACTTAGTTGAGTTGTAATGTGTGAATGGTGAGCAGCTACTCCCCTGTCCTAACATTCAGTTACACACAAGGCCATTTTTTATCTCCCCTTTTTACTGGACAGATTAAGAAAGAGAGATTACTTTTAGTCAAGTTAAATTGGGAAATCCATAAAAGGATTTGAAAGCGGGCCTTTTGTTATTGACTATACCCTACGATATAAAATTTAGTTTTGAAGATTTGCAGTTATTAATTGATACTGTTTTATACTGTCACTGGCTTTTCAATTAGAGCTTTATACAAGAATTTTATTATTTTCAGGCCTTCAATAAAGGCAAGACATTCAAAGGCAGAGCCTTGAAGGTTTCTTGGTATCGACCTCCATTGACGCCTACATCACCTGCAACAGCAGTACCAACTACACCTACGACTCCTACAGTGCTCAAGAAAGTAGAGGAAGAGTTAGGACTGGATATTGATGCTGAACTGGTGAGAACTCTATGAAATATAAACGTTTTGTGTATGTGCTGTGGCGTCCTAAACAGAGTTGTAAAGTGATAACGTTATAAGAACTAAAATTGGAAATTATGGGATTTGTCAGGATAGTACGGTGGCCCAGAAGGGTCACACATGCAAATTAAAAATGTTGCTGCAAATTAAAAATAGTAAATGGAAATTAAAAATTGTACATGCAAGCTAAGAATATTACCTGCAAATTAAATATAGTACGTGAAAACTAAAAATATTACCTTCAAATTAAAAATAGAAAACATATCGATGCAAATTGAAAATGAAAAGTCCTGTGCGCGCAGTACAAGTGATTAGGACCTGGTCCGAGCCGTACGACCTGCCCTTACAGCCGTCGGCCCATTCATGTTTCATGTTTGTAATATTTTTAGTTTGCATGTACAATTTTTAATTTGCATGTACCTTTTTTAATTTGCAGGTAAAACTTTTAGTTTGCAACAACATTTTTAATTTACATGTGTGACCCTTCTGGGCCACCGTGCAACTGGGAGCAGGTCGTTGGGTTGGTTCGTTATAAACCCGTGAAAGGATGATGATGAAGTTCTGAATATATGAAAAACATATATGTGAACTGCGAAGTGAAGAATTAAATGAATTAAATTTTTTCACGGGTTTATAATGAACCAATTCAACGACCTGCTCCCAGTTGGCTTGTTAGCTCAATTGGTAGAGCGCTGCACCGGTATCGCAGAGGTCAAGGGATCGAATCCCGTACAAGCCTGATTTTTTTTTTCAGGCTTTCTTTTCGCAACTGAAAAAGTCGTGTTTATGACTGCGATGATCATCCTTCATTTAATCAAGTTTATGTATTTGTAAGGCCCATATCAATGTGCATGTCCATTGACTATCCCATCTTTTAGTAATATGAAATAGAGAGTAAGGCTTTCTTGTTAAGGAGCCTTTCAGAACTCTTTTGCTTTGCTGTTAGACAAGGGTTTATTTCAGAACAATTCATTGTCTTTTTTTTTTTAAGGGAAAACATGAATTTGATGCGGATGCAGACGAAGCTTTGCTTCTTGGAGAAGATTTTGATGAAGAGGATGAAGAAGAAGATGAACGATCATGGAAAAGATAGTTACAACTATTGTTTAAGTTGATACGGCAAAACTGCGTCGATCGAAGCATTGTAAAATAATTGTCATGATTTAACTGTTTCAGACTTGTAACTAAAGTGAGCTTAGCTTTCTGTAACATTGTAACATCAAGCGTTAACTTCGGTGGACTCCAATCGTCTTTGAAAAAGCAAGATTTCTTGTGTCGATTTCTTGTAAAACGCACTGTCTTCGCTCCCCAAATTCAAAGGCTAAGAGATGATACCCATCTCAATGTTTTATTGAAAGATACTTGTCTTTGACCTAGTTTAGCTTTTACTGTGTGTTGTATTAACTTTATAGTACTATAAGTTAAGTTGTAGTCAATACTTCTTTTGTATTTTTGTGAAGGCCTGAGGATGCAAAAAAAATGAAAGTGATGCTATTTTTTCTATAGTCACCTTTTCTTTTCGTCTTTTTATAACTTTCATTTTTTTACTGAAGTCTAAGTGTTATTTTTTATGAAGTGTAAACTTTTCTAATTTCTTTTGTACAACGACAACAACAACAAAAAACAAACCAAAAATCTTACAAAAGTCAATGACCAATTCTTGTATATGGTCACATTGTGACTGCTGACCAGAATAGCACTGGAAAAGTGCTTTTGCTGACGGGACGAAGAAAGTTGAAGGCTGAAAAAGTGGCAAGAGTAGAAAAACAGAAGCCAAGAAGAAGATACAAGATTTGAATGGAGTAGGATGAAGTGTTCCAGGAGCAGTAACAACGCTCAGGACAAGTGGGGTGAGTATACTGTACAATTTATACATGGTAATTTCATATCTGTTCCAAATCTCCAATCAATGTTAAAAAAAACTGAGTTTCCTCCAGTACAAAGGTAACTCCTATGTTAAGGAAACTAGACTTGTGTTAATTTTCAAACGACATTGCGT